CCGCCGGAAACCCATATGGGCGACCGTACACTCAAGTCGGGCCATCCTAGAGCGTCCGGCCGAGATTTTTTGGCGTTGATTTCTTTTTCCAGCTTTTAATTGTGGAGGAAGACCCAGTGGCCCTCCCGGATATTTCAGGCCGGCGGGCACGCTGATAGAACCCGACCTTCCGTAAGCCAGCTGGATGGTTCCATCTCATGAAAGAATCTCGACCCGAGTGAGGATCGAACCTACAGCGGTGAGGGACCTGTGATCTCAAGTCAGCGACCTTAACCACTAATCAGTGATGTAAAACTGTCTGTTATAAACCCTGAACTATAAATAGCATGCAGTGTTAACCTGCAGAGAGAATGTAAACAAAACAGCTGATTTTACACAGGAGAGGTTTAATGGATGTTTTATATAACTCAAAGATTAATTAAAGACATTATTTTGAAGTCAGTTGTTTTTCTTTTTTTCACTGGAATGCTGCATGTGTCCTTCATCAAGTCAGACAATTATATCCAAATCCAAAAGATGTGCCTTACATAGGAACAACATGCTAAAATGTTCTTGACAGGGATTTAAAATATCTTTAAGCTGTTTATGTATAAAAATTTTATGCTTATATGCAACATTCAGTTTCCTTTACTGAAATGTAGTTTTTGACTACAAGATATTTACAACAAAATATAGTGTAAATGAAATATACCTGGAAGTAACTTTTACTGTTTTCATGAAGGTTAAGCCATTCAAATACAAGTTAAATCAGTACTTTGAAATTTTAAAAAAAATCTTATATTAATGGATTATTGTAAATTTGTTGGATTTGATAAAAAAAAGTCAGTAAAAGTTATTGTTTTTTTTTCTTATCATGTATTCAGCATTCCAATGTGTCGTCTGCTGAAAATCTCCTTCCCTGAAATATACATGGTCTGCTACAATACCTCTCTCCCTGAAATAAACACTGCCACGTGCTTCTGTTTACTATTGAAGGTTCATGACCTGTAATGATCACATGGCTCCTCCCAGGGAAATTCAAATTTCAAATTTGACAGCCAGTATTTTTTTTCCAGAAATACACTTTACAATGTTATATTTTGAATAATTTTGGTCAATCTTTATCAAAAATATCTATTCCTACAAACATGCCAAGTGTTGTTTTAATGTATTTGGTAATTAATCTTAAATCTTTGAAAAAGGGTCCCTGAAGTGAAGCATGCATAATATTAATAAGAAACCTGCCCTAGCGCCATCTGCTGGCTTTTAAAAATATACGTATATTAGTGATATAGCCCTTATCTGTAACTATCAAGAGCTCAATAGGTCGCTTTGTGTTCTCTATGTTAGTTGAAGAAATTAATCAACCTCTTAAGAAGCATTCAAATATATGAGAGTCAAAAGTCGGTCAGTTATCTAAATACTCTAGCAGCATGGCGGCCATTGTCTGCGGAATGAAAAAAACAACATCACTTGCATAAAGATATTTTGAATTATTCTAAAAATCATTTACGGAAAATGCTCACTCAAGATTATTGAGTACGGTAACGTATTATTTTGAAAATGAATGCAGTCATAATGATGATGATAATAATAATAATAATAATAATAATAATAATAATAATAATAATAAATTAATAAATTAACAATAACTTTACACATTAAGACATATACAGATTGTAACACCATATCAAGGACTTATTATCAGGAAAATAGGAAGAAAATACGCTATAAACAAATATAAACTCATAAAAAGTTTCTTGAAAGAGCTTCACACGTTGTTTTTCCTTCAACGAAGGTCTAACGTGTACTCCGAAGTATTCGTTATTTAAGAAATAATATATCCCAAACTGTGATTTTATAGCTCAATAACATCACTGTTTGGAGTTCGGATGCGAGGAATTATATCACGAGGGCGTAGCCCGAGTGATATAATGTTGCGCATCCGAACGACAAACAGTGATGTTATCCAGCGATAAAATCACCGATTTGGATATATTATTTCGATTCTAACACGACATAAACAAATAAATGCTGCCGTACCTGCTATTAAGCAAAATTGCGCCTGATTTGTTTCCGTACTTATTGTCAGCGCGTCGGATTTCATAGTGGTTACGTCACATCAATGATTACGTCACACGTCTAAATATAGAACGTCAAGCATAATAATACACACTTTCGGTTCTTCTATGTTCAATAGGGAAAAATGCGGGTCGTGTTAGAATTAACGACAGTTTAGTTAGAATTTTTGGTATAACGAACGTTTTAGGTTAGAGGGTAAATTACTAACTAGATCTTAACCAAGGCTTAACGATGATCGTTACTCTAACGAATGCTTCTGGTTACTCACCCCTGCTGGTTCGGATTGTACTTTTTTCGCGAAAATAATAATTATTTTCTGTAAGACGAATACATGTATGTTACATTTCTTCTTGACGTAAAGAAATGTAAAGTGTATTGTTGAAATACTAGTGCACTGCACAAGTACATGACTACTGCAATATATACAATACACAGGATAAAAAATATTATTACCGGTATATTAAAATCGATAGTATAACAAAACTACCTTTATTTTCAAATGCATGTGCATCTTTAGTAAAATTGGAAAAAATAGGGAAAAAGTTAGAAGTGAGACTCAAACTCGTTAAAATTTTCAGTTATATTGCTTCCCGATGACTTAACCAACTTTGCCATCAAGATATTTAGAATTCATATTTTTATCTTGAACTGAAAATCCTGTGAACAATAAAGTAAAGGGAGCTTATCAGGACATAAGATCAATAAAATGAAGCGTGCGTGATTTAGTGCCCTTGTTAACCTATTTATAGAAATGATATAAAAGTGAAGGATGGCCAAAGGGAAGCAACCTGTAGATCTTAAATTTATAACTTAATTCAGTTATAAAAATGATAACTGCTTTAAGTTACACCCCTGACTGGTTAAGTATAGTTCAGAAATAACGGCAAAAAACACATACAGACCTTATATCCGAACACCACTCGTATTTGCAAGACAAAGTTTCAGTTTTTCAAAAACATGAATAGAAGAGAGAACTTAAAATAATGGTACAAAGACAATCGTCGGATTTACATAAATGCACCAAAAAGGGAAAACAATAAAATGATTGATAATGACCTCTGAATTTGAAAGGTACTGTACAGGCATTGTCTTCAGTGACTTACCTGATTTCAAAGAAGACTCGAGGACATGTTTATCCGATAAAGCTAATATTTACATATTGACATAATGCAAAGGCGATTGCAATCAAGCATACATAAACTAAACATGTCAAACCTTTACTTTTCACAAATAATGCATTGGATTTGAATGAATTTTTACGCTTGACTTGTTTGAATAAACAGTGTAACTTCTGAGTTCCGGATCTCTTAAAGTTCAGAAACTACTGAAATCCGACGATTGTCTTTGTACCATTATTTAAAAAGTCTCTCTTCTATTCATGTTTTTGAAAAACTGAAACTTTGTCTTGCAAATACGAGTGGTGTTCGGATATAAGGTCTGTATGTGTTTTTCCGATGAGACAAATTTACATTAAGATTATTGCGTTTGTGAAAATGCTAAGGCATATTATTCATCTCTAATCAGTCTTTATAGGTAATATCACAAAGCGGTATATAAGCGTTAAACAATTTCATTCATATCCAGTCTGTTTACTGACATATATCCATACACTGTTATGAAGCGACAGCAACAAAAACTCAGCTTTGTTTTTAGATTTTAGTCTTAAGCCTTTTCTTCCAAACATAGTGTTTGATGATCTAATAAGTATGTTTAATGATTCCGGCTGTGTAGATCATCCTTGACAATGTCGTAAAAGATCCTCAATATAAAGCACCGACCGTTTAATTTATTAACAAGAAGCATTAAAGGGTATTAAGTACCAAGTTTAAGCTCTGTCACCGAGTTACTGCCAGATAAGGCAGAGTTATAATGGTCTAGGGTTTGAGTTGGGTGATTCAGGACATTGAATATTTATTATCCAAGGTCAAATATGTCAAAAACAGTACCTGACAATTATTCTTGCAGACTAACTCAGTTTTGTATAGTACTTTGTGATTATTCCTGAACCGGTTATATTTTACATTAACTTGCCTATTTTTCATTTGTTTGCTCGGCTGTTTAGAAGAAACAATATGAGCTATTGTAATAGTCATAGGGTCGTTACCGTTGCCGTCCGCAAACTTTAACCTTGATCATGTTGTTTCTTTTACTTGCAAACAATTTGTTCAAACTTTTACACAAGACAGTTAGTAGATCAAAATGAATTTGACTCATAAATGACTTGAACTTTAACGTCAAATGTATGAAAACTACTTTATCTTTTGCTATGACTGGCTATAAATATGTTATTTATGAATAAAATGCATTTATACTTGGAAACAATAACATTAAGGACAGACCACAATAAATTCAAACTTGGCATATAAATGACTTTGACAATGAAGATCAAACTTGTGTTTTATTGCTTTTTTAAATAACTGAATGGAATATCTTCATACTTAGACACAAAAATAAGATCTTTATGACAGTTAAGTATCAATTAAGTCATACAAATGTCAATGATTTTCATTTTGTAAAAGCTTTTTACTTTTGTGTCTTGTTACAGTTTCCGAAAAAAGTAAGACATTGACCATGAATCTTAGTCATCGGTTGCCACCTGTATTTCATTCAGGTAAATTTTATACACTGAAGCGAACACAATATTTGGCTGAAAAATGTGTTATTCTCTTACCTTAGCCAAAAGAATATGGCAATGTATTAGCCTAAGTAATTTAATATTTGATATTGTTAAAGGGTATAAATCTATATACATTGAAATTATTTTATAAATTTTACAACGCTGAGATTATATTGTTTTCATCACCAAAGTGTAGTCTCAAGAGTTATTACATAGACTGTCTCTGTTATTTAACACAAATGAGTATGTCCCGGTGTTGACATTGCTATTTAAAATAGGTTTTAATCGCCGGGGAATGATTTACTAATAACAAGATGATAAGTTCTTAATTAAGCATTTATTTTCTTCTTTTTTTTTCTTACAAAATTGTAAAATGTCTTAAAAATACAATTAATATAATAAATCAAAATGTTTGTTTTTCAGACTTTCTGCAGAAGTCTTTTTTTGTTTACATGTACTATGCTATGTATACTCTTGTAAAGATTTAGTAATATGAAATTATCTCATATTGAAATCAATCAATTAATTCATATAATTAATTAATGATAAAACAAGTGAATATGATAACATAAAACAATATGACAGACTAAAAATCATATCATCCAACACGAATGTGTCGTAGTAATATCTTTCATATATAAAGAAAACAACAATTTAAAATAAAAGCACTCAAACAAAGTGATAGACATGTAGCCATCAACACCAAATACATATACAGACGTAGAATAAATTATCACACAAGTGAAAGCACGAACTTTTTAAACTGTGTATTAAATGCCCGCTATAATTCAAGATCAAAGACAAATTACCCTGACTTATGTTTTATACAAAGTACGTATAGGATGATTATAGGATCATTAGAACATGACCATTCTTCAGAATAGCTTACTTTCATATATGCACCTATCTAGCTTTAATTTTTATTTTAGAACTGTTCATCATCTTTTTTGGGTGATATCAAGATAAAAAAAGTCAGTCAGTTGTATAGACGCTGGTCTAACAGAATTGCTACAAAGTGCGTATAAGATACCTTACTCTTAAAAAACAAGCAATCATCAATAGACTCACCTAACTGGAGATTCAATCAAACGTTTACACAATTTAACGATTTGTAAGATATTATAACGTTATATTACTATATCATAATTTGAAATATTTTTCCACTAAAATCTCAGTCATTATAAATCAGTCAATAAAACATGTTTACAACATATTATTCCTTCCCATTGCCAATTGCTTGTACCAGAATATTCTTATCAAACACGGGTTTTGAAGGGCCGTATTCTTGTGTAGGCATAGGTCCGTATGTGAAAGGTTTAACATTTGTCATCTCGACTTCTTTTTCTACCTCAGGTAAGACTTTAGGTGATCTGAAATATATAACATCAATATGATTCATCAATCTGAGTAATATCAGCTCCTGATTAACGCTAAGCATGATGATCTGACGACCACCTATAGATTTTTACCTCGTGACTTTTCAAACAGCCAATCATCGGCGAGTATTGAATTTTGCAAGCGATGTGGTTTCTTATTTTAACCGCTGGAAGCCAATACTGAGTAGGTATTTCACGATTTCGAGTTGTCCATACAGCCGGCAGCTAAACTGACAAATCAATCTTGCCAATTAATTGAGTCTATTATTTCCAGTTTATTTGTTTAAAGGGATACTCAGGCAAATTAATGACAAAGATATTAAAATGATCTTATGTATTTAACTCACGCTAAAATGGCATTTTTAAAGTCCAAGTTTGACTTTCTGTATAACGTCTATATATTTTGGATTTGACGCGTAAATATATCCATATATGTTAACGAAATTTAGAAGCTGACAGAATCACAAAGTAGTTTTAAAGAGCCTGTAACACATTTTCTTTATGTTTTTAAATCATAAATATGATGCTCAAGTTAAGATTTATCAATATTGTAGGTTCCAAAAAGCATAATTTATAAAGATTTTACCGAATTCAACATTTCATGTAAATAAAGGGAGGTAATTAGAAATTTATTTTCTATAAAGTTGAAGTCAAATTTTAAAATAAAAATGAATGCATATATTTTAATGATTACATATAATATGCACAAATATTTTCAGTACATATTTTACATATTCTTCGATGTTTGAAAATTGTTTTATTTGCATAATTATGTACATATATATATAATTTCACTTAGTGTGGTCAACCACTTTGATCAAAACATACAGGCTTGAACAAACACCGGAAGTTACAGTAACAGATATTGTGGTTATTGTATGTTTGGAACACGTCTAAGCCATTCATTTGACATGTTCTTTAACGTTTACAGAGTTCCCTGTGACATTTATTGTGACACTCTAACAAGACCAACGTGGGTCACGTTAGGAAACCACCATTTTATTCTTTATCAGGAGAAAAGCTTTGTTTCTGTGACTGCCTAGTGTACATATATTAATTTTGAGGTCATTTACAGAAAAATGAATGAAAAAATCAAAACGAAGAAATGGACATTTTGCCTGTGTCTCCCTTACTTCAAACATTTTTTCCTTACAAAAAATGAACAATTTCTGCGGACGATATTTTGCAACTCGTTTAATGCCTATCTTAAAGGAAGGTTTGATTGCATGGCTAAAATGGCTTTCTCGGGAAATCCGAATTACAATGAAGGTGAAACAAATACAGTGGCAATCAGATCTACATGCAAGAAAAAAATACTTAAATAGATCTGAACATTAGTCAGATTGTTTAATGTATATAATCTACGATTAGTTGTAATTTCATATAGAATTTTTATTATCCTCGACTCTGTTACAGGTTATACATCAAACCTGTTACAAGTTTGATAATTTAAGGACGAGTTTTAACCAATACTATATGAAGTAACAGAAGTATTAGAGTATTTTCACATGATATCACAAAACCAGAAGATGTCATAACCGATATAATCATTCATAACTGATATGCCATTTTGAATGACGTCATCCATTGACTTACATTAAAGTGACGCCATGACGTTGTCATATAAAGAAATTAAAATAAATCAAAATAGGATGGTTTTATGAACGACTGTGTTTGAATGGTTTCTAAAGAAACAATTATTAAATGACATACCTTGCCTTTATGTAGAGATATGCCCCGATTGCAGCAAATATAGCGACGACAAGAACGCAACATGATACAATCACCACTGTGAATAGAGATGAAATATCAAATTTAGTATAATAACGTGAAGATAGCCGACATCATACGCATCATTCATGATTTGCTTAATTTTATAAGTCTCCGTAGACTGTCATGTGACGGATAAACAAAACAGTAAAGCTTTTTTGCCATAATATTTACTTGTCGTTTCGAATAATGTTTTCTTCCCTGATTCAACGGTAGATATAGTAATTTAATTTTAATTACCATTTTCTATATTCTACAGTAAATTTTTGTAAACATTGTGGAAAGTTTTAGTTAAACTTGTAAGCTAAGAAATTAGGTGATTAGCAAATTAGTATGGACCAAAGTTTTTTTTTCTCATATATTTTTTGTATAATTAAGTATGTTAAAAATCTGATTGTCAGAAATAAAGAATGACAAAACTTAGGTATAATAGTTACCTAATATACGGTCATCTAGTCCGGATGAAACTGAAAGAAAATAATATTGTTTTAAAATATAGAAAAATAAGTATATTTGATCTTCATCTTGTTATATGCATGATACAAAACAGTAAAGCTTCAGCTATTTCACATAATTTGGAAACATGCTAAATACTGTAACAAAAACTCACATAGGTCTACATTATAATTTTTCATATCATCAGCTAAATTTCTTAAATGGGACTTGTCTATCATATTTGGAGATATTCAGAGGAATTGAAAGTTGGTCTGCCTATAGTGTACAGTCTTGCCAGACTGCACTGATTTGCAGGCTGACCTGGCTCTACACTGGTTGCAAAGTCCATACACTTTCTGTTCCAGTAGGGTGTTTATGCATCTATATACTTATTATTAATATTACTATAACAAGTTAATAATTTCAGCATTGATTTTGCACGATTGTGCACTACAAGTACTTACTTTGACAGGAATGACCGTCTTTGTTCAGCTTAAAACCATCTTCACATCCGCATGTAAATGATCCTTGATTATTTGAGCATGTCTGCTCGCAAGTTGACGTACCAATCAAGCATTCGTCTATATCTGTATAAAAAGTATTTCATTATTCTACTTCAATCTGTCAATAATTAATGTAACTTTCATTTAAAGCACCATTATAAGGGTATTATGCTAATAAGATACATTTTTGTACGTTTGAAAATTAAAGCGGCATTCAGCTTTTATAAAGGTTAAATATGCTATTTTCAGATAAATCGTTTCATATGATTGTCAAATCAAAAGAATCTAGGTGGGAAATGAATATTGTCGACAATAAATTTAATTAACTATGAGGGAACCCCTCGATAGATACCTCTAATCTACCGATCCGCTCTCTTTATTCAAATTAGTAAAGCGGTTTCGTTTCCCAATCTTCTATTTTTAGTAACGAACGTTACTCTCGCGTTATGTATAGCTCGCTGGCCATTGTTATGAAGAAGACTTACAGTAATATAATGCACTTTTTAAAATTACTGAAATATTTGATATAAGACAGAATTGTTTTTCCAACAGAAAACAAAAAGCTGAAGGCCGTTTTAAGCTTTCACTAGTAAATACACAGTTTATTACTTTTTAGAATGAATCGAGACGTTTATCTGGATTTTTCTTATATATTTCTATTGTCGTTTGTACTACTATAACATTTTTGAAAGAAATCTTTTACTAAACGATGCTATCTTTCCAACCTTCAACACAATGTACATGATGAGATTAGTTTTTTTAGACAAGTTTTTCTTCTTTTAGTCATAGGTGGTCCATAATATTTATCATAATTGTGTGTTTTCCTATCTATGTAAAAATATTTCATACAAAGATTACTTACACTATGTTAATATGTGTTTTTAAAAACAGTTATGAAAATTGCCATGTTCATACTACATTATTTGGTACAATAATTAAATGAAGGGAATTGTTTTATTACATGCACATACCATCACAATGCTTGCGATCTTCGTTTAGTCTGTAACCATTGAAGCAATTACATATGTAAGACCCAACAAAGTTTTCACAAGTATGTTCACATCCACCATTCTCCGTTTGGCATTCATCGTCATCTGAAACGTATAAATATTAATGAAGATTATTTTCATATCCCATTTAAATCACTTTTTAACTGTTTATTTCACAATTAATACAGCAATAAGCTATGCCAGACGTTTCAACCTTAAACATCATATAAATAAACCTTGATAACGGGCAAGTAGAAGACAAAATAAGATAAAATAAAAACAAACAACTTTTAAACTGTGGAGAAAAATAATGAAGTATTCATGTACATGTAAAAACCTTTGTGAATTTTGCAATTTTGCCATACATTAACATTAAGTATTTGATGCTAACGGCTTTGTTTTTTTTTGTTAAATTTTGCCGTCTTTGGCGATCTTTACAGATTCCACATTATTTCCTTTTACAGACTTACTAAATATTTTTAATTAGCACAGAAGGACCTCTTATTAAATTTCCCCGTAAAATGTACAAGCAAACAGACAACTGTGTAAAATCTATCGATATATCATGAGTGTGACCGAATAGTTTCGGCATGCAAAAACACGTTATGTGTTCTTTATGAACACATAGGGTTGACTGTCAAAAAAAATAATTATGTGATTTAAAGCAATTACCGTATGTAAAGACTTTAAGGTAGGCGTTTGCTGATGTTAAATTAGCAACAACGTTTCCAACCTCACATCTATAAACGCCGCTGTCATTCAATGTCACATTGTTAATCACCAATTGCATATCTGTTTCGTTTGGTAATAGGTTGTCTTCCATAAACCATTTTATATTTGGAAACGGGGATCCGGTAACATTGCATGCAAATAACACATCTGTACCATTAAGTACTGTTTGATTTTTCAACACCGTTAGAAATATAGGTGCTTCTGAGCAGAATGGGTTAGATTCGATGATAAGTGTTATGTATGACATGATTCTATCCATTGCGGCTGCTGATTCTTCAATCAATGACAACTGGTTTTGGAATAATTCTATTAGAATATATTCTAAATCAAGAATAGCTTTTCGGATGTTGTCTATATTTGGAATATCCTCATCTTCAAATGAAGTATATAATTCGGAAATGGCATATAAGACACAGTCTTTGAATCCATTACATTGTGAAGCATTGAAATACTCGCTTGAAATGTTTGACATTTCATCCAACCAAATTTCTAGAAAATTAATTGACTCTATTGACTTTTTTTCTGCATTCATTGACTCCATTGCCATTGAAGCTGACGAATTTATTTCCCTGAGAAGCGGATCATTAGCAAGGGCAGCTTTTGATTCATTTAATGCTCGATTCAAGTCATCTTCTGTCATGTTATAATCTCGTTCTGCATATTCTTTACTTATTCCTGCATTATCTAATGTCATATTTTCCGCCAGGCCTTCGATTGTAAACTGTTGAAGCTGATCGTTAAGAATGGCTAATTCATCCATGTACTTTCTGGATTCATTCACAACTTCATTCAATGATCCTAACGCATCGTTCATAAATTTCATTACATGAGTGGTCGTTTTACATTTTTCTTTGAAAATTATTGACCTACTTTCATAATCAGTATTACTATGATTATTAAATCCAAGAATTTCATCAACAATATCTATGAATTCATTGCTTTCATTTGAAAACTGATAGGTACCGTTGTCAAAATTAGCTTCTCTTATTTTTCTAATATATGCGTGCATTTTAGCAGACGCTTTAAATTCTAGCTCTCTACGTCTTCTTCCGATACCACCAATCAATTTACTAAGCATGTCAATTGTTGCTCTTGCCGCATTCCATAAACTTTGCACTATATTTTTAAAGTTAATTCTTATTGTGATAGTTTTCCAACCTAATCGGAAAGCATTTATGTCGCAAAAAATATCAAATACCGGTAGGTCATGGGTTGACAATTCCACATTGAAGCCACAATTTCTGACGTCAAGCAAATTTTTCAGTCCAAAATCTATTACAAACTCGAGAATTTTAGCAGCAACACCGATAGCGACTTTAACTCCCTCAAGAACTGCATTTGCTGCTTCAAGAACACCTTTTGAAAATTCTAATCCTAATTTGGCAACATCAAGCAAACCAACAGCAACATCCAACACGACACGTGATTTATCAACAACAAACTGGGCTAACTGATACCGCTGTTTTTTGCTCCCTCAAATGAAAAGCATGGGAATTTTTACAAATATTTTTGGCTGCCTAAAAAGCAAAATTAAGCAGCTCCTCGTATTATTCTGCACGCCAAGTTTGCAGCAACACATAAAGGATTTGGAACTTTAATCATGCAGCTTGTAAATCTACAGCACGGATATGGAATCTTAACCCATCCAATCTTTTTTCGGCAAATTCTACATTTTACTCCTGGTATACAAAACTTTCTACAAGATCGAATTTTACATAGATTATCGACCTTCCTCTGAGCAGCACTGAGTTTCCTTAATGCTTCTTCAAATGGTCTCTTGGCAGCATCTAGCTTGTCCTTTGCTCTTTCTAGTGCGGCAACAGCTCTATCAAACTTTTCATTTGCACTTTTACAACTGATTTCTTTTCTTCAAGCCAGTCTTGAGCTTTTGAAAGTCCTCCTTGTGCAGCTTTGAGGCCTTCTTGTGCTTGGCTTAAGCGTTTTGTCGCCATATCTGCAATCTTGTTAACTACTTTTTTCAAGGCATCTAAATAACTGTCTTGAAATGATTCGCTTCTGGTCTGAATTTGACGCCTTTTTCTGCTTTTTGCTAGAAAACGACCACTTACTTTGTATACAATGTGATGCCACTCTGATTTCATTTCTGCAGAAATATCTAACTGTGCCAAGAAAATGTCCCAAACATTACCTTCCATATAGAGATATAATCCTTTATTGGTGATAAATAGGTCCGTTGTTGCTTTCATTCCTAAAAACTGAGCATATGTCTCAAGTTGTAGAGCAAATTTATCTTTATCTGCTGACAAAGCGCCACCTATGCCGGCACCAAGATGAATTTTTATGAATACATAAAAAACAAATACACGTGATGCCCTTCCAATAAATCTTACAGCTTTTTTGCCTTCAAAATGTTTACTGATAGCGTCAAAACGACTACATTTAAAAAGATGCTCGACAGAATCAACAAATTCTAAATCGAATTCTCCTAATTTAAGACCAAGAAATTGAACATAAGTCGTGTACTTCAACCCGAAACCTGTATATCCGGAGTCCGGCGTGTTTTTTATGACCAAAGAATTTGTCACTTTTTCCATGGCATTCTTAAGATTAGTTTTTACAAAATCTATTTCATCTTTTATGATATTTGTAAAATTTTTGAAAGCATTTTGAGCGATAAATTCTGTATCGTCAAAGAATAATTTAATCCTATGTTCCACCTTTTGGTATTCTTGCCATAGCTGTTCAACAAGACGTTTCTTTGCTTTCCAGTCGCCTGATAGAATGTCATTTAATAAGTCATTTACAAGTCTTTTCATAGTTTCAAAGTTTACTTCAATATCATGAGCAAGCATCAATGTGGTGTTCCTAAATATTATGCCTAATTTTTTAAGTTCTATTTTGAAGCGACCTTTAAGTCGATCTAGTATATCCCTAAAGTTTAGAATATCTTCTTTGATATTGATGTCAACAACCGCTTGTGGGGGCTCGTATGTAACGAATCCATAGGCAAAAAACTGGAAAAATTTTTCATTTTAAAACATTAAAATTTCCCCGTTTGAAAAAAGGACCCCTTCCCTGCCTATTTCAGGCACCCAAGGAGCTCCAAAAAAAGAATAAAAAACCACCCGTTTAAAACAAAAAAAAATCCAAAATATTGGGGGGAAAATTTTCAAAACCCTTTCAGTGTGCGGGAAAATGGTTTAAAAAACGGGGAACCCTTAAACCCCTGGGCCCCAAAACTCCAAAAATAGATAAATTACCCTGCCCTGGGTTGCAACAACTGGAATTTTACAATTTTTTTTAAAAAAAAACAAAAATAAAACCAAATAAAAAAGCTGTAAAAAATTTTTTGATAAAAAACGGTAAAAAATTTTAAAATTTTAAAAAATTTGGGAATTTTTAAACCCTTTTTTTTTTGAGCAAAGATTTAAATTTTCAATAAGCCCCAAAAAAATTTGTTAAAAACAAATTTTTCCCGTTTTTTTGGGGTGAATGCTTTGTTTTGAAAAAAATAAATTAAAAAAATTTAAAATTTCCCTTTCCCAAATGATAAATTTCAAATTTCATTTTTGGATGTAAAGAAGACTTTTTAAAATTAAAGGAATATTCTTTGGCCAAAAAAATTTAAATTTAAAATTTTAGGGGGATGGAAAAAAGGTTTATGAAAAAGGTTTTCCCTTCGTTTCCAAAAAAAGGATGTAAGCACTGTTTGATAAAAAAAACAAAAAACAAAAAATTTACCCTTAAAAAAACAAAGGGGGCCACGGTTAAATCGAAATTAAAAATTTGTTTTTTTAAAAATGGGGGAAAATTTTACCGGTCCCCGGGGGGTTTATTTTAAAACCCAATTTTTTGGCCGCCCCCTTTTTTTAAAAAAACCCATTTAAAATTTTTAATTTATTTTTTTAAACAATTTCCGTTCCCCGGGGAAAAATTTTTCCTTTAAAAACATATTTTCTCCTTTTTCCTTTAAGTGTGGTTTTAATATTTTTGGGAAGAATCAAGCAAAACATAGATATTGGGTTTTTTATAAAATTTAAATTTTGGGGAAATGCCCCTAAAAAAATGGGCACTTTTAAACAAACAAAAAGGGGCCCGGCCATCAAGGAACTAGAGCAGGGTTTTTTTTGAATTAAAAGGTTTGGCTGGGCCACTCTTTAAAATTACATCATCTTGCTTTTAAATAAAATTTTGTAACAATCATTAACCTCTAAAATATGCTTTAAAATTTTCATTATATTTTCTATATTTCCAATAGAAAAGCATTATTTAACATTGCTTACAATTTCTATCTTTGGCATCCCGATGAAAATATCAGCACTTGCAAATTTTCAAAATAAAATTTTGGGGTCATTTTTTTAAAAACGTCGGGCCCCCATCCAAAAGTCTTTCCCCTTTTAAAAAACTCTAAAAGATTAAAAAAGAATGAAAGGGGAACATTACAACAAAATTTTTAAACATTAAAAAAAAAAAACACTCAATAATTTTTTAAAAGAAGGCCAAAACCTTGAGAAAAAGTTTGTAAATATTTAGCCCAACCTTTTAAAAAAATGCCAAAAAACGTCCTCTACACCAACCAAAATTTTTAAGGGTAATGGTTTTTTGGGTTGGTTCTGCGTTTCATGAATATTGTTTTTTTGCCTTGTAATCTTCATTACTGTAGTTAGCTCCCAAATAGGACTAAACTAAATATAAAGTATCGGATAAGTAATTCCCGGGTCGCTTTATTTTTTCCTTTACAAGGCCCTAATTTTTTCCCCCAACAAATTAACAAAAAAAGTCTAAAGGTCATTTTTTTTTATCCCTGTTTTTTTATAAAATTGTTGGAGAAAAGGGTCAAATTGCCCCAGAAAGGGAAGGTGGATCTACCGCGAGAAAAAGACAAAAAACTTTCTCAAGTTAGTTCGCGAAAAAAAGAAAAAGAAGTCCAGTAAAAAAAAAGGGCCCCTTTAAATTTTAAACGAATACCTTTTTTAGTTTTATTAAAACATCAGAACAACCAAAAAAACTAGTAGTGTCATTTAAGTTGTTTTACAATGATTTAAACCCAAAAGTCGTAAATTTTTATAAATAAAAAAAAGATAAAATTCCAAACGTAATCCAAAAACATAAAGGTCCAAATTTTTCCCCCAAAAGGGTATTGGAAAAAATTGGTAACCGTTCCTTTTAACTTTTTAAGTTCAAGTTTAAACTTTTTTAAACCCCTTTTATCAAAAAACGGGTTTTTGAAATTCCAAATTTTCCTTGGGGGATTGTTTATCCCCTTAAGTTTAAAATTTTCTTTCTTTTAAAAAAAATTTTGAAAATTTTAAATTTCAAAAATTCCTTTTGGAAACTTCGTACCAAATTGAAAAAGATTTTGCCCGGTTTTTTTTGAACCCAAAAGGCCAGATTTTAAAAAAAAATTTTGAAAAAAAAAAGGGAATTTTTTGGAGGGGGGTTTTTCTTTTGTCCCGCCCCCGAGAAATTACTAAAGAAAAAAACGGGGTTGGGAAAAAAATCTAAAAAAAAAGGGGTAAAAAAAGAAAAAGGGGTTTTAATTTTTCCCCCAAAAAGGTCCCCCCTTTTAAACCAACTTTTTGGGTTCTTTTCCCTGGGGTTGATAAAAAAAAAAGGGGTCTTTAAAAAAAAAGGGATAGCAAGGAAAGGATTCCCCGGGCCCCGGTTTGTTTTCAAAACTTTAAAAATTTCCCAAAAATTGGGGGGGAAGCCCGGAACAAATTTTCAAAAATTTTTTTGTTTTTTTAAAAAAAAAAACCCAAAAACTTGGGTAAAAAATTCAAAAAAATTTTTGTCCCGAAAATTTTCCCGGGGCGGAAAGGGGGCCAAAAATTTACAGGTTTTGGCAAAAAAAAATTTAAAACTGAATTAGTGTATAAAATTTACCTTTCCCTGAAAAGTTGTTTTTGTTTTTTTCCGTAAATTGGGGAGGAAAAAACTTTTTCAGTTTTAAATGTCACTTGGGCAAAAACCCCCTTTTGGTTTGTGAAAAAAAATTTTGGAATTATTTTAAATTTTTAAAATTTTAAAAAATTGGAAATTTAAAAAACCGAAAAATTACCCAGGGTTAAAAGGGAGGGTTTTAAAATTAAAACCCTTTAGGCTTTAAAAAACCAAATTTTTGAAAATTGGAAAAGGGAAAAACCGGGCTTTGATCTTTTTAAAAACCGGCAATTTCTTTGTTGGCATTAAAAAACAGGGGGGCCCGTTGGTAAATTTTCCCCCGAAAATTTTTTTTTCCGTTTTCCCAAAAAACAAATTTTTATTCCTTTGGTTTTACCTTTTTAAAAAAAAAACCCAAAAGGAGTTGGAAAAAACCCTTTAAAGGGTTTCCCAAAGAAAAAGGGGTTTTAACCCAATTTTCTGTGCTATTTTCCAAAATTTAATAATTTTCCCCAAATTTTAAAACCAAAATTCTTTGCCGGGTTTTAAAAGCCCCCTCCAAAAACCCAAGTTTTACTTTTTTTATATTTCCCCCCTTTGGGGGGTTGGCAACCCAAGTTTTCCTAAACGGGGGACCCGGGGGCAAGTTTAAGGGGGGAAAGGGAAGGAAGGGTTTAAAATTTTGGCCCCCTTTTAAGAAGAAGCTTTTGGAAAAGGGGAAAAAGAAAAAAAAAAATTTTTAAAATTTTAAATTTACAATTTTTTTTTTTCCCTTTTTTTAGTTTAATTGAATTTTCCCCCCTCAAAAAAAAATTTGTAAAGCGGGGAAAAAAGCAAAATTTTTTGGAAAAACTTTTTTTTATGTTTGGGGGGGTGTTAATTATGTTTTTTTGAACATTTTAATTATAAAATAAAGGATCTGATAAACCCCCGGAAAAACGAATCCCTCTTTCTTGCAATTTCGACCTCAAAAACATCCACAATGGGACGACCCCACAGTGTTTATTTCAAGCAAACCCCGGAAAACCCCCTTTGAAAGGAACATTTTATTAACAATTTTTATAAATTTGAGAAATAATAAAAAATGGCTTGATATTTTGTTCTTATTTTAAATTTTCTGGGCGTAAAATTGTAAACTAACCTCAACCCGGGTCTTTCAACCCCTTTTTGCCCCCAAAAATTTTAAAATTAAAAATCAAGGAAATTAATCCCTTTTCCCCTTAAACAAATAAGTAAAATTATATCACGTTCCCCCATAATTTAAATTTTATTTTAAAACGGAAAACCCCTTGAAAAAACCGGGGAAAAAGTAAAATTAAAAAAAAAATTAAAAAAAAGTTAATTTAAAAAAATGTTCTAATTAGGGGTTTTTTAATTTAAAACCTTTTCCCGTAACAATTTCCCAAAGGGCAAAAAAACAAAAAAACCAAAAATTTAAAAAAAAAAAAAGTAAAAAAGAACAAAAAAGTTTTAATCAAAGTTTTTAAAAAAATGAATTTTCCCAAAAAAATTTTAATAAGGGTTCATTATTTTGAATAAACTTTAAAAAAGAGTCATATCAAGCTTTTATGATATATACAATTTTAAAAGTAAACATAAGTTTAAAAACTAATTTAAAATAGAAATTTACGTGACTTCAAGTATTTCTTTTTTTTATTAAATTAAAAGGGTTTTCCCTTGATTAAATATTAAATTTTCAAGTTATTTTCTTTTTTTGAATTCTTTTTATTTGAAAAAAAATAAGAAATAATTCAGTTGAATTTTTACTTTTCAATCTCGGGAAAAGAATTTTAAATAAACCCAACAATAAAATTTTTTTTAGTTTCTAACATCTGGATTCAGCCTTTTTTTTTATGTTTTGTCATTTTTTAGTTGGTAAACAATTGGGGGTTTACAATTTAAATTTTTAAAAAGAAGAAACAAAAAGAAAAGTTAAATAGAGACGCACCGTCCTGAAAAAAAAATTTAAAAAAATTTTAACGGTCCCCGTGGTTCTTACAACCCGTGCCCAATTTTAATGGGGTACAGGAAAAATAAATGGGAGGGGGGATTTGGGAAATTTTTTTGGGGAAAAAAAAGTCTGGTTTTCCTTCAAAAAACCAAGGTTAAAGTTTGGAAAGTTACAGTGTTGGTGCGACACTTAACCCAACACCCCAACCCCCGCCCCCAAATAAAACATGGTGCATTTTCCCCATTAAAAAAATGCCCCGAGAAAATAAACGAACATCATCCCTGAAAATTTATAAAAAGATATCAAAAAAAAAAAATTTTTTGTAACCCTTTTGTTTTAAAATAAGAAAACGCCAAAAACCCTTGTTCGCAGTGCGTTGATGTAAAGCCTTCTGCGCAGATACAAGTATATTTGTTCAAACCATCTCGACAAGTGCCGCCATTTTGGCAAATAATTCCTTTGCAGTCGTCGATATCTATAAACATATGGAACATTTCCTTAACTATTTGTTGCTGCATAATGAATAAACCGATGCTATAACTTTAACTTCGATAATGTAGTAAAATCTTGCTTGTAACTTTAATTTTCATTACAGCGCGATTTGTTGTCGTCGATAGCTTTATGTGTCATAACTATTTGTTTCTGTAATGTGAATAAACCGATGCTATAAATTTAACACCCTAATGTAGTAAAATGTCTTGCTCTTTTTTTACTTTGAAAAAAAAAACCAACACCAACAAAAAGAATCAAAAATCAAAAATAAAAATTCTGGTCAACATTTTTCTCTTGCATTAAAAAAAGACGTACACGTATTTTCATACCTATATGTGCAAACATATGCATAGCACAATAGAAATATCTTTCAGTAACCGTTAAAAATATAAGGCTATATATTTTCATTTACGTTAAATGAAATACATGTATCAAACTTGAAACATTACTTGCGAGATCAACATGTTTTGTGCCAACGAAACTTCCAAATCCACCTCAAATAAACATACATTTTGCTGCTTTAGAAATTTTGCTCATAATGATCAAAGGGTGATTATTTTATGTTAATTTGACCCTTATTGGCAAGACAAATTTGCCTAGTACAAGCTGGTCTGATTTTATCATGATGATACGACAAGTTGTCATTGCTTATTCCCTGCGGTCTGGAGACCGCAGGGTATTGGTACGCGTTTAACTTATGAGGCATGGAGGAGCACGTGACCTGCTTTCGGTACATGGAGGAGCATGTGATCTGTAAACCGTACATGATTGGTTAATTGGCCTTTTCGAAAACCTAGCTAAATAACGTTTGCCGGTACGTTACGGATTTACCTGTAGGGAATTAGTCCGAATTACACTTAATTAAGAACAAAAAACTATTGCGTGATATTTCTAATTTTCTATAATTATTTTACCGTTTAAGGTGGAAAAACTTGAATGATGTGTTTGAAAATTATCAATGTTTCTTTAATATCTATCTCAAATTTTACAAACAATAAATTGTTTATACTGAAAATCTACAAAATTAAAATATTCGTAGTGGCATCTGCCATAATAAATAGAGATATTTTCTGCGTAAACCTGTGTGTTTACTTTATTTATTTTTTGCTCGGAATTATTCATAAAATGGTAGGCCTATTTAATAATTTTCTTAAAAAGAATAATTGTTTGATGTTCGACCTTCTCCGGTCTTTAACGGTCACCAGTTTCCATAGACCTTCTTCTATACTGATCGTTTATTCAATTGTCAACTATATTTCAAACGTTTATTTATCCCCCCACCCCCTAATAATGTTGAAAATAGTTAAATGAAATATCTTTATATCATTAAAATGTTCACCGCAGGAAACCATTTTACTTGTAATTATATAGTTTTAAATGTTAACTGACCTGTACATGTTTTTTGATCAACCTTCAACTCATAACCAGAATTACAACTACATTTAAATGATCCTGGGGTGTTAGCGCAATTCTGGGAACAGCCATCGACATTCTGTTTACATTCATCAACGTCTGAAATAAAATATACGTATTATGTCGTAATGTATTTAATACGTTAATTTAAATGTATCTTAACATATTGCAAGGCCAGTGTTCACATAAGTACTTAATGTTTCATGTTTAATTACAAATTTTGTAGATAAAATCATTATTATATATCTGTTTGTTTGGTTGGTTGTCTGGCTTTATGATGGTTTGTGAGTATCCGTTTTTTTCTATTCAATTCATGTTTTACGCAATGTTCTCTATAACACTTCTTTTTCTTACTGATTAGTTATATACGCTCTACCCATCCATGTCAGAATAATTCTTTTTTATTCATTTGGCTGTCATTAAATAACAATTATCTGTTTATATCAGAATTTTATTAAATCTAATAATTTCGATTATATCACGTATATCAAGACAATTTGTTGAAAAATACCTGAGCATGCGTGTCCGTCTGTTGCAAGAATATAGCCTGAATTACATTCACATGTGTAGGAACCAGGCGCGTTCACACACACTTGGTCACATGACCCATTACTAGTACTGCACTCATCAACATCTGAAGAAGAAATATACTGGTATTAGTTATCAAAACATATACTAGTATGTATACCAGAATGCGCCGGAGAGCAAAATATTAAGCGAGCAAACCTTTTCTTAGGGTAATTGCGACAATACATCTTATGATCGTCGGACGGGATAACATTTCGAACCATATGATATAGTGGGTTTTGTAAGTTATTTAATTATAACATTTAGCATTTCAGGGCAATAAAATTTTATAAAAGCAGGCATGGGAGCGAACACCCGAATAGCGAACTGGTAAAAGCGTTCATGTTATGAGATTGTTTCGTGTTCGAATCTGCCATTGCGCACATTTTTTGAATATGATATTTAATACCCGAATATCTTTCTATAGTTTGTGACGTAAGTGTTCTTTTTCTTTTTCATAAACCTATTATCATATTTATCGGGCATCTATTATTAATTTGATATGTTGCACATCAGAAAGTTTAATTTAAAAAGGCTAAGCAAAATTAAATGTGTTTGAATTTTAACTGTCATTTTTAAGATTTGAATAGTATTGTCTTACCATTTGAATTTTGTTTGCCTTATTCTAAACAATTTTGGCACACTTGTGATTATCGTTTTTCTTCCATTGCTATTTATTCAGTCATTTAGCACATATTTTAAGGACTGTGTTGACTTTGATTTCTTAAATGCAAATCTGTGTCAAACTTAATGTTTTTTTTTCTTCTTCAAATAACCGTGTGAGAGGAGGAACTAGAATGTCTTTAATTAAGGAAAAATGAAATAAATTTTTTTTCCAGGATTCGAACCAGGGTTTCTACACTCACGAAGCGAACACTCTATCTCTACGTTATTACGCTGTGAAATGCTGAATGGGAATAAACAAGATAAGACCCTAGTTGTAAAAGGAGATAAATTGTATGTTTTAATTAAATAACAATTATCGAAACCTCAATATGTCAATATTGATGTAAACAGATAATGAAAACAATAGCGAATTCAGGCTGTATATGCTGACAGTTTCCAAGCATCAACAATATGAAAATTGATACAGGCATCTTTATGAATAATGATGAACTTCACATATATCTAATCTTTTCCCTTCTTAATCTTAATTCAAGATGGAGCCATAATTACCTTGACAAGTTTTACCGTCTGCTGCAAGCACGTAGCCCTTCTCGCATGAACAGAGGAACGACCCGACAGTATTTGTACAGTACACTTTACAATGTGCCGTGCCGTCAGTGCATTCGTCGATGTCTGTTATAAATTTGATAGAAAAAAATTACAAATTGAACATATGTACATAAAAATTAGAAGGAATTAAAATAATATCAGGTCACTATAAAAGCGGGACAACGCTTATGGAAATGGTGAAGTCCGACTATGGAACGCCGTGACTGTCTTATGTAATCAATGTTTTTGTTATCTTGTGAAACGATGATATTATTTTGTCGTTTGAGCATGTTATCATGTGCAATTTACATCATGTCTTGTCAAATGAACATGCTGACTTGTACAAACTGCATGTTAACTTGTCAAACTATTATGATGACATGTGCAGACAACATGCTATTTTGTCAAAGTATCGTGATGACTTGTGCAAACAACATGTTAACTTGTCAAAGTATAATAATGACTTGTGCAAATGACATGGTAACTTGTCAAAATGTAATGATGACTTGTGCAAACGTCATGTGAACTTGTCAAATTATTGTGCTGACATGTGCAAACAGCATGTTAACTTGTCAAAATGTCATGATGACTTGTGCAAACGCCATGTTAACTTGTCAAAGTATAATGATGACTTGTGAATAGGACATGTTAACTTGTCGAACTATCGTGATGACATGTGCAAACAGCATGTGAACTTGTCAAAGTATAATGATGACTTGTGCAAACAGCATGTTAACATGTCAAATAACCATGATGACTTGTGAAGACAACATGTGAACTTGTCAAAGAATCGTGATGACTTGTGCAAATGACATGTTATCTTGTACCATGCTGACATGTCAAAAAGCACTGTTAACTTGTCAAAGTATCAAGCTGACTTGTGCAAATACCATGCTAACATGTCAAAATTCAATGATGACATGTGTAAACAGCATGTTAACTTGTCGAATTATCGTTATGACATGTGCATACAGCATGTTAACTTGTCCAAGTATCATGATGACTTGTGCAAATGACATGTTATCTTGTATCATGCTGACATGTCAAAAAGCACTGTTAACTTGTCAAAGTATCATGCTGACTTGTGCAAATACCATGCTAACATGTCAAAATTCAATGATGACATGTGTAAACAGCATGTTAACTTGTCGAATTATCGTTATGACATGTGCATGCAGCATGTTAACTTGTCCAAGTATCATGATGACTTGTGCAAACGACATGTTAACTTGTCCAAGTATAATGATGACTTGTGCAAATGCCATGCTAACTTGTCAAAATTTCATGATGACTTGGCAAACAGTATGTTAACTTGTCAGATCATCGTGATAACATGTGCAAACAACATGCTAACTTGTCCTAGTATCATGATGACTTGTGAAAGCAACATGTTAACTTGTCCAAATTTCATGATGACATGTGCAAACAGCATGTTAACTTGTCAAAGTATCGTGATGACTTGTGCAAACTACATTCTAACTTGTCAATGTATCATGATGACTTGTGCAAATGCCATGTTAACTTGTCAATGTATCATGATGACTTGTGCAGACAACATGTTAATTTGTCAAAGAATCGTAATGACTTGTGCAAAACACATGTTAACTTGTTAAGGTATTATGAGCATGTCATCACGATAATTCGACAAGTTAACATGCTGTTTGCACATGTCATCATGAAATATTGACAAGTTAACATGTCGTTTGCACAAGTCATTATGATATTTTGACAAGTTAACATGTCGTTTGCACAAGTCATCATGATACTTTGACAAGTTAACATGTTGTCTGCACATGTCATAATGATTATTTGACAAGTTAACATGCTGTTTGAACAAGTCAGCATTGTCTTTAGACAAGATATGATGTAAATTGCACATGTTTATATGCTTAAATGACAAAATAATATCATCATTTCAGAAGATAGCAAAAACATTGATAGCATAAGACAGTCACGGCGTTCCATATCCGACAAACAGGCCAATAATCATGGGCCGGATGAACTAGAGTCCCATACAACTTGAATTATTTTAAGGTAACCATTTCCTGTTCAAAGCACCATGCCTCCAGACCCTTCCTTATGTTGATGAAATTATTGAAAATATATATCAAAGTTAAATAGACTAAGTGTGAATTGAACGAAGACAGTAATTGACAAATTGCAAACGAAATGTTGAAATATGATTTTTTTTCAAAACGGCTTATATTAAGTTTTTTTGATATATATGATCAGTACATGTGCTGGGATTGACAAATATGCATTTTATTTGGATTTTAAAGGCGTTTTGAGCTCCAAACCCCAAGTGTCTGTGCAATAAAGCATTTTGTTGCTTTCACCATTTAAGCAGTCTACGGACATTTTACTTACCCGAACACGACCTTCCGTTAATTGCGAGTTGGTACCCGGTCTTACATGAGCACGTAAAGGAACCAACTGTATTAGTGCAAGTGTGTTCACAACCGGAAGTTCCTCTAGCGCATTCGTCAATGTCTGCAAAGAAATTTAAAAAAAGAGAAAGAAATAGAGAGACACTGCCGGCAATAAGCAATTGCTTGCTAACACGATAGTACTTTTCTAAGTATATCTATAATTAATGTTGCCGAGTACCAGACACCTACATATTCTTGTAATTACAAGGACAATCTCCAACTTAGGAAAAAGTTTGACAACAACTGAGTAAACAGCACAGGTAATATGTGCAGTATATCACTGCTCAGTATTGATATTATCTTAGTATTTTGGAGCAATGTGTGACCAAAAAAAAAACGGTAATTTAAAGTAAAAAGTTTACTTCGACCGAATGTTGTTTTTAAAAAAATTCTTATTGTTCCTTGAATATTGAAGTTAAACAGTTTGAAATATATGGAACAGAATTAATGCATTTATTCTATCTTGCTTGATGACATTGGAACTTGCATTATGCTTAATTCCATCTTGCTTGATGACATTGGAACTTGCATTATGCTTAATTCCATCTTGCTACATGATATTAGAACTTGCATTATGATTGATTCCATCTTGCTTTATGATATTTAAACGTTGCATTATTCTGGATTCCATCTTTCATTATTTCATTCAAACATTTCGTAGTGACCAATTCTTTCATTGAGTGATAACTATTAAACTGGAACAAGCCATTTGGAATACTAAAATGTTAACGTCTTATACCTTTATGTATAAGCTACCTTTCTTCATGCTCTATACAAACCATTTACGGTTTAGTTTTTTTTGTATTACTTTTATGAAGAAGTCATTTAAAATTGAATATTTTTTGTTCCCTGATGGATTTTGTTAAAATGGGACTTATTTGATTTACAGCTCGCATGGCGTGATTACTTTTAGCTTTCGCTTATATCCATTATTCAGTGTTTATGCTTAATAAAGCTCGGTGTCTGAGGCTTTGTGGATTATGTTTGATCATCTTACATTATGATAAACAATTTAAACAATGTCTAGCGATTTGTGAACTGTTAAGGGGCGAGAACTCTGTTATCGATATCAACAGATTTTTTCCATGATTCGCCTATCATCGGAATTTTCCGTACATGTATATATTACGGAATACCGTTAGGGCCATCGTGGTTATACTTTAAAATACAGAGGGCGACAATGCTATAAATACGTACCAAGCGCTTAATACATAAATTGCAGTGGAAATAATATAAATACAAGTAGTAAGGATTATGCAATATAATTTTATACATGTATATGTATACAGTCTAATAGAAAAAAATATGCTCGTAAACAGTTATTCAATGGGGCAGTTATACGTACAGTGGCGGATTCAGGCCTTGGCTTAAGGGCTGCACCTACCCCCAAAGATACGTTGATGAGCTGGGATGGAATATATACGTGTAAGTTTCATGCAATAGTGGTCATAGTGTACTCCCTTATCAAAACATATAATGCTGTCTTTCAGTTGTTAAGCACCTGCCTACGATTGCGAAGGTCTTTATCTAATGACTTGGACATTGAAAAGCAAAACTTATTAATAGGCCTTTTAACTTAATAAATGTCTCAGTCACTAATAGTGGCGAATAGGTATGTAACACATTAAAATATACATGTATAATAAGGAAAGAAGGAAGTTGTTTATTTTTGTGACATGTGCATATATAGTCAATTACAAATGTTGGGCATATGTGTGTCTGATTATAGATCAGACATCCCGCACACACCACCACATTCACATACATTTGTGCTTAAAGATATACTATGCACATCTTTCAGTAATATATTTTTATCACAGAAATTTATTGAAATCTATAAAATTCTTACTAAATATGTTTTATTTAAATAAAAACACATACACATAATGTATAGGAATCTGCTTTCCTTATTACGGGTCAAGTAAAGTTGTGCCTGTCTTTAAAAGAAACTTCCATATATATTTTTGTAATAACACTATACATGAATATTCATACTGCCCAATTACAGTGTAAAGTATTTAAAGCACAATGTTTGTGTGAAGCCAAATTATATTTATTTTATTTTACAAAAAAAATCAAGTTTGTACTGTACTAAGTCGTGGCCACGAGTTACTAAGTGACATGTGTGTGTGTTTTTATTTATCTCATTAGTTATAGCCCTTTGTTGGGACAATTCTATGATAGAATTGGTCATTTTGTACGTACAAAGGCCTGTTAACATTGTTTATACCATAACTTGAGAGGGACTTAGTCCTGATTTATTTTATTGGGAAGGGACATTGCCCATGGACAGTAGATATCCTATAAGGATGTTTGAGGTCACAGGTCAGATAAACATGACACTTCATGCAAAATCCTTGTCTGATGAATGATTTAGAAAAATAAGCCGTAGTTTATATAACCTAAAAGATCAGTAGATGACACCTAATAATTTTTAGGCAATTTAATCAAAAATCAGGGTCACAATGACGCTAAATCTTTGATCAATCAATAACTTGTATAAATGGCACTTTTACGGACAAGTAAAGTAGGGGCATCCTTGTTAGGAAAATTCATATAAATAGTGTAATTTGATTGGTTATTTATCTCGTTCGCACGACTTAACTTTTTCGTGGCCACGACTAAACTTTCTCGTGGCCACGACATAATAACTTGTTCCAACGACTTATTTATCTCGTGGCCACGACTTAGTAACTCGTGGCCACGACTAAGTTATCTCGTTCCCACGACTTAATTACCTCGTGGCCACGATTTAGTAACTCGTGGCCACAACATAGTATCTCGTTCCCACGACTTAACTATCTCGTGGCCACGACTTAGTAACCCGTGGCCACGACAAAGTATCTCGTGCGCACGAGATAAATAAAAACACACACATGTCACCTTCGTGCCACCTTAAGTTTGATAAAATTCAATTTCACTTATCACACACGCTCAAAAAGAAGTGTAAACAACTGTATAAGAGGTGAGTTGCCACTTGTAGTATGAGTTATTAGAGACATATATAACTTTTTTTTTCCACATGCTGGCGGAATCTTCAAAAACACGCACTTTTCATCTGTCGCATCGTGTTCTCTTGTTTTTTTTAGTAAATTTACATGTCAGTCCCCAACTAACACTGTTCTGTATACGCCCCTATATAAAGTGGACGTAACTTTGTTTACTCCACGTGCCAAAATACGGGATCATCCGGAAAATAACGGGATGTACCGACAAAGCGACACCTGCTGTCATAATATGAACACAAATTATTGCAACTCGCATTATGCTTACTGCCAACTGCTTAGTGCGTACTGTCACATGCGACTATAATATCGCTATCGTTGTCATCTTCGTTGTCGATGCGCAGTGATCATGTATTGCATTATATTTGTAATCAGTGAATATATTGAAACATATGAATGCTAAGACACATCAAATCAGCCAATTATTGATCAAAATGAATAGTTTAATTTGACATAATGTCGACAATATAAGTGGCAGATTTATAGCAAATTAAAGATACAACTACCATGTTACATATAGTTATAAAGAATGTTATCTTAAACACCAAACATAATACGTTGTCCTTAAAAAAAGATGCAATTAAACATATAGCATATTAAAATATGTGAGTTTGATGGTTTAGTAGGGAACACACAAGGTTGCAATTACATGAAAGTGCATTCAGTAATCATAAGGCATGATTGAATACAGCAAAACGCAGGTTTTCATTGTCATAAAGAAGTATAGAAGCAAGCATAATGTAAGTTCCGATATCATAAAGCAAGATGGAATAAATGCATTAATTCTGTTCCATAGAAATAACATTCTTTTTTTCTTTTAAGATATATAAAAGATGTTGATAAAAAAATCTCTTAAAACAGATAATTGTCCGCTAAACTATATGGTATCATATACTTTGGGGATGCGAAGATTCAGCCAGCGGTAAAATGCGTGGTCAGACAGGCTGGCCTGGCTGTTTACTGGTAACAAAATCAAACCAGCAGGGTATGGCTAAATTAACAATTTCATTCGGAAATGTACGCCTAATAGCAAGTGAAGTGTTACAACTTCTTTGTTGTGCGAGGTTTTCTTTTGAAGTTACATTTACAAATAACATCCAACCTCGACATGATTTTCCATCTGATGATAATTCGAATCCATTCCTACAGGAACATTTGAAAGATCCAGCCGAGTTTGCGCATGCGTGGTCACAGCCGGATGTTTTCTCTGCACATTCGTCAATATCTATAAACAATCATAAACAAGTTATCAGTAAAATGACTTATAATCTCAGGAGGAATAAATTTCTTTTAATATCATCTTTACTCTTAAATTTGATCGGCCTTTGTGCTACCTTTTTGTACAATGAGAACATTATTTGAGAATGTCTGACTATCTACTGTCCATAAACTGTCTTCAGATCATACAATCGTATAGATGTTCCCATAGAATTACATAATGAGAAAATTTATGTTCCCGTAACATACTTTAAAACGAAAGTGTGATTTTTCTAGGAGAATAAAATGTCTGACATAAAAATTTATCTTGTGACATTGGGGTAGCCAACCAAACCTTTTGCAAACTACCTTCAAAGCACCGCACGAAAAGTAGGTCAACGACTAAGTCAATAAGATACTTTTCAGAACGGTATTTCTTACCTATGCACGTGTGCCTGTCTGGGAGCAGACGATAACCGGTGTTACAGGAACACGTGAAAGATCCGTATGTGTTGCTGCATTTCTGGTTACATTTGTTCAGAGACGATGATGCACATTCATCGGTATCTGAAATCACCATGAGCTATAAATATACGAGCTGTGATTGGTAAAAATCACCATGAGCTATAAATATACGAGCTCTGATTGGTAAATAAATGCCATGGGCTATAAATATACGAGCTCTGATTGGTAAAAAGCACCATGAGCTATACATATACGAACTTTAATTGGCGAAGCTCTGTAACACAATGGTCTCATTGGCCTCCCGTGTATTATCTCATTAATAACTCTAAAAACATTTGCATTCTATTTTGGCTCATTCAGTGAATTACTGAATTTCAATCAAATAGGTCACCACTTTAGAACTATAACATACTTTAAGGGCGTGACTGGTGACATGTCCGGGGTCCGTACTCGACAGCGAAAACTTTGTAAGTCCTACGTAGGACTTTATAAGTCCTACGTAGGACTTTATAACTCCTACGTAGGAGATATAAAAACCTAATTAGGAGTTTTAAAGTCCTACGTAGGACTTACAAATTCCTACGTAGGACTTTATAACTCCTACGTAGGAGTTAAACTAGAAATGTGTCCATAGGACACGGATGCCCCCACACACCACTGTTCTGTCAATCTTATGACTCTAGGTCACATATTTTTGGACTACATGTGCTACAAGTTGAAAACTAAAAATCAACAAAGGGCCATAATTCTTTTAAATTTGGTCGCAGCAAAAATTCCTTCCTTTACTACCATCTACACATTAAGGTTGTTCATCCCAGGAAGTTTAAGCAAAATCTGCCATCCGGTTTTTGAGGAGTTGCGTTCACAAAATTTCTACATAGTATATAGTGAAAAAATCAACAAAGGGCTATAATTCTGTTAAACTTGGTCGCAGCGAAAATTCCTTCCTTTACTACCATCTACACATTAAGGTTGTTTATCTCTGGAAGTTTAAGCAAAATCTGCCATCCGGTTTAAGAGGAGTTGCGTTCACAAAATTTCTACATAGTATATAGTGAAAAAATCAACAAAGGGCCATAATTCTGTTAAATTTGGTCGCAGCGAAAATTCCTTCCTTAACTACCATCTACACATTAAGGTTGTTCATCCCTGTAAGTTTAAGCAAAATCTGCCACCCGGTTTAAGAGGAGTTGCGTTCACAAGATTTCGGGACGTACGGACGGACGGACTGACTGACTGACTGACAAGTGCAACGCTATATGCTCCCACATTGTGGGGGCATAAAAAGTCTAATTAGGAGTTTATAACTCCTACGTAGGACTTTATAACTCCTACGTAGGACTGTCCTACGTAGGAGTTATAATTCCTAGGTAGGAGATAAAAAACCTAATTAGGAGTTTTAAAGTCCTACGTAGGAGTTTAAAAGTCCTACGTAGGAGTTTTAAACTCCTAATTAGGCTTTTTTTATCTCCTACGTAGTCCTACGTAGGAGTTACAAAGTTACGCTAGGAAAGTGTATAGTCTATGTACCTCAGGTCCGTGTGTAAGAACCAACAATAACGTCTATGGATCTCAGTTACTTTGTAAGAACACTGAGTTTTCTAAAAGAGAGTATGTACCTGAGGTTCGTGTTATGCTGGATGCATGTTCTACCATAAAAAATTGATAGACAAATAATATGTCCAATTCTAATTGCCGCTAAATATTGATATAAATATTTTGTTTTGAAATACTGTAGAAAAAAGGTAAGTACTTAAAAGAGAATCTAGGGGAACTAGCTAGGTAACTGTATGGTCGGACATCAATAAATCTGTTTGCGATATATTGAAACAAAACACAAACTGAGTGAATGAAATTGACCAAATGTATATGTTATACATACCAATACTTGGCAATGAAAGTGTTCAAATTAGTTCAATAAAAATGAAAAGTTTAATATTCCATAACATAACTATCCTAAAGGCATATAACAGTTGATTATTCTTCTAGAAAAATAGCACCCACTATTACAAATAATAACGGAAATAACAAAAATTACCTATTTCACATCTTGAACCTTTCCAAATGCTCGGACAACTGCATGTGTAAGAATTTGGGATGTTACTGCACGTGCCGCCATTTTTGCACGGGCTACTGCTACATGAATTCATATCTGAAACAAAAGTAACATTGTGATACCAGTGTACATGTTTTTTTTTTTCAATTTAAAATTCTTAAAAAAAAAACAAAGAAGAATCAAACAAATTTGATACAACTTTCAAGTATCTTTGTGTTATCGCTTTTCCGCATTAACGGTGCGACAATGCAGACGAAAAGACAAAATAAGACCAAAAATAGGACACATTAAATCATGGAGCTTTATATAAAAGTATCTGACTCAATGTGAAAATGTAAAGTTATTTTGCATTTTCGTGGTGAATGCAACATGGTGTAAGTCGGTCACCATAAAATCACTTTAACTGTACTTTCGAAATACGCAAAAAGGGCTTAAAATGGTTAAACTATTTGATACATGATTTTTTTTTAAACTTTAAAAAGAAGACGAAGAAGAAGAAGAAAAAATACATTTCCTTAAGCTAAATGGGCCTTTAAAGAAAGCTGTGAAACGTTACGCGTGAGAATGTTCAAGATTAATGTACATTTGTAATCATTTTTTTCTGCGTTTTAAAATATTTTATCGCAGTATGCACAGGCCAATCGTTCACTTTAATTCCACTTAAGACATGACCATATGAGACAAAAATCAAAAATATGATGTCGTATATACATAATATACATAAAGACAAAAAATGGTAATATGAGGTACATCCGTTTACAATATATACGTATTAAGTAGGTATAGTAACTTTTTAATTAATAATAAACAATTCAATTAGAAAATAACACTTATCGTAACCCCTTTTTGTGTTCGTACAACACCACGTGCCGGAAAAGAGCAGTTTCAGTTGCATTTTTAAGTCACATCGACACTTTTTTTATAACTAACAATGACAAATATATTTTAAAGTGTATAAAGTTATATATAATGCCTATTTCACTGTAGCCAACGTTGACTTTCTGATATTGTTTATGTTGTATATAAATATATAATGGTAAAATAAAACCAGAATCCCCAAAGAACGTTTAAAACGCTAAGTTGAAAATAATGATTGAGCCTGTTCATGAACGGTACTGGAAAATGCAAGTTACCGTCCACGCCCAAAACTTCAAAATTGAAAATGTTGCAGGCTTGGTTTGATGAAAGGTACTGGAAAAATACAAGGTATGGTCCAAGCACCTTTGCGCCCGCTTAGACAGAATACAAATGTAAAAACAATATCAGGAGATTTAAGAATAAATAACACACAATTCAAACAAGAGTTAATTTTATTCATTGCAGAATAAAGTGTTTTTATGATTCGAGACCCTCTTATTCACAATTGTCTGTCGTTGTCAGACATGTAACCTTTATTCGGTTTTTTTGTTGTTGTTTTTTTGTGTTTTTTTTGCATGCGTGCTGTGCATCATTTCATGTTGGATTTATTCTTATTTTATTGATAGATTATCATTTGTGCATGAAGTAGTTGATGGGCTTATGGGTAAAAGTGCCATTCAAAATCTGTATATTTACGTTTGTAGTTGTTGATTTTCTTGATTGATCTGATCTACAAAGTTTGTCTAAATGCACTAAACCATAGCAACACTCGTATTGCTTGTGATGGGTGGAGAGATTAAGAATACAGGCAAATAAGTTTTGATTATTGATCTGTTTAGAAATTGATAAAAATTCACGATTTAAGGATTAAATATTTACTTACAATTTATAGCATAAACATGCTTTATCTTAATATCTCAAAGTTATCTAGCATCAGTCTTCTAAATGTAGTCGTAAGTTTAAAATTTTGAGTTTTAAAAGTGTGAAAACTATGACGTCACAAACTCCCGAGTCTTTGATAGAGTTTATAAACAATATCCTTTATGTTATATTCAAAAATAAACATAGTCATAAGCTGAGTAATTCTAAACATTTTAAGAAGATTTTTTTAAAGTGTTTCACGAACAAACGACATTACCAGTCGTAAAACACATAGTCGTAAGACAATGTTTGCAGACGACAAACATAGTTAAAAGAAATCGTAAGTTATTAAAAATGATGAAAAAGATAGATAAAGATATAAATTGCTGTAATTATGCTTTCTGTACGCATTTTGTTTTATTAGAAAGTTTTGAGGTAATAATACATCACAAAAATTTAATATAAGTCCATTATTTTCTTATCATAAAAATGTCTGAGCCATACGTTATCACAATCACATTCACGGAACAAATGGGATATTACGAAAGAATGATAATATATGTCACCACTGGGTCGCTCACGAAAATACGACAAAGTGTCTACGTTGTCGTATTTTCGTGTGGCGCCCCGAGGAGCGTAAAGACGACATGGCACAAATGAGCCGCCATACTCCACACAGCGAAGTGATGTTATGCTAGTGTTTTCGTGCTAATATTTGAATGGGGACATTTATGGTCGATCTTACCATTTAGTCCGCATAGGAATAGATTTGTTCAGGCATTTGCTGGTCACAAAGTTTAAAGTCCTGCAGATAGGGTGTCAGGGTTGCAAAAACTTTATACACGTATACAGGGTATAACGTTAATACATTGTTTAACAAGGGGGAGAATCACGCCGTTCGTTACCCAAACAAACAAGATGGCGGATGCAGCCAAAAAGTAGGTTTTTTCCCTTTTTTCTCTGAAATTCGTGATGTTCTAATGTAAAGGTACATATAAAAACCTTCTCCACAATTTTCCTGGCACACAGGATTTTATTTCATGATGTTTTGTCCCGTACTTTATCTGAAATGTCCGTCACCAGATTCGAAGCGAGAGAATTTTCCATCGGTTTGATCGTGGTAACGTACGGCTTTTTCTCTCAAATTCACTGTTTCTTTTACATATATCTATATTAACTGAAACCACTGACTTTAAAAAGTTGTAATATGTCGTCATCTAAGCATACATGTCCATTCTGGCTAGAATTACTGCTGTAAATATTAGTATCGGGCATTTTCCGGAAATGATAACGTAAATGTTTAACATCATAAATGTCTAGTTTTACAATGTCTAGAATTGATACTGTCTGTGATAATGAAAAATGCCTCAGTTTCATTTCACTTACATGAACATGTAGGAGGACTACCGGACCATTGAGCGTTGGACTGGCAAACACGCCTCAATGTGCCGCCTGTATGTCCGTATCCAGATTGGCACGTGTATGTAGCCACGCCCCCTTGTGAAGTACTGGTTACACTCAAACTTGTATGCGCAATGGTACCCGGCTGTCCACAATTGGCTGAAAATAAATAAAAAAAAAAGCTTGGATTTATATTTGTTTATGTTGTTTCTAGAAATAGATGATAAGATGATAAACTAGATGATAGACTCGTAACCATATTTTATATTTAAAGTTTCATAAAAAAAACAAGAAAGTATTATTGTCATATGGTGTGCGCTTTAAAACGTAAATAATCAGAATATATTAATAATAAACTTTGTTCTTTAAAGGCCCATTATGCTTCAGAAGTACTTTCATATTTTTTTTTCAAAAGCATGCTAATTTGCTACGTACATGAACCATCTTTTGCATCTTCAGCTCTGTTTGCAATTGGTATGTTTATAGTGAATTAGTATTTTGTATGGAAGTCAAATACTATTTTATTCCTTTGCGACAAATGACTGCATGTTCACCGCTACTTTTTCAGATTTAAAAAACCGAACATGCTATTAATCCATAATACATTATTAAACACGCGTTTGAAATTTCTAAAATAAATAAAGAAAGAAAAAATATATGGATAACTGAGGCATAATGTGCCCTTTAAAGAAATGACCAGTTTACAGATACAGAATATTTGGATAAAACTAACGCGGAGGAGGCGGAGGAGGAGGGGATCGACGTCGTCGTCGTCTGCGAAACCAACCCCTCTTAACTCGAACTTTCTTTTCTTCTTTCTCGAACTGAAACTCTTCGTTGTTGCCTGTGTAAATAAATACAAAGGAGATTTAAAAGTATAAAACATGACATATAAATATATAAACTGTATAAAGTATGATTAATTCAGATTCTTGCTATTTCTATGAACATGTTGAAAGTGTATTTAAAAGTAAAATATTGTGTAGTGAACAAAGGAAGTAATTAACACATTGCATTTAACGGCATTTAAAATCCACGTAAATTACCAAAAAAGAGGTCAAAATATGCAAATATAGCCCTTATTGCGTTAGTAACACAATATTAATATGGTGATAAATACTGAAAATCCATAATTAATTTTCTATTAAAATCTCTTAAAGTCTAAGTGCATTTTTCTAAAATGTGACTTTCTTTTACGTTTCAATTAACATATTTTAATTTGGTAAACAAATTGTATGTTTCATTTGTATTTTGCAGCTTATGTTAAAGTGAAGAAGTCTTTTATGTAGGTGCGAATAAAAACCCCATTAAGTGGCATGATCCTCTAACCTCTTTGGTAATGATACCAAGTATATGGTCTGTTGTTTTCTGGTATTATACAAATACTGTGTTAAAGTCATTGATGAAGGGTCACTATCAGGTCATGACCTATACTTCCGTGTAGTTAACCTTACTAAAATGAAAAGTTTTGTGCATGCATTCAAAATGAAACGTGAGAAACTTAAGTTGGATTTAAATTTTAAAGTTACCATGTAGAATTTTTCATTCTTAAAAATATATAACCCTATCCCTCATACAAAAACGTCAAATATCTCTTCAGCATAAATCTAATCAATGATCATATACATTATTAATTGTGATTGTTTCTGTTAAGTTGGTGTCATGTCCAGTTGTGAAATAGAAAAATGTCGATCATTGACAGTTGTACATACACTCCTTTTCTACATTGCTTTTCACTTCTTTCCCATCCGGACCGACCCATCGGCCTCCTATTGTACACTCTGCAGGTTTGAGTAAACCACACACTTTGTGGATGCAGATGGTTCCCTTGGAAACCAGTGTTCGAAACTCGCCTTTACAATCCAAAGGCACGTCTTCAGTGCACCTGCTAATCTGCTTTAACTCACAAACATCACATTGTGTTTTCACTCCATTTACCTTAAATTCATCCAAAATAATTAAATAAATAAGATACACACTTAAAGTGAATATACTTTAATATAACACCAAAAATGTAAGAATTGATGTATACAGGGGGTTTCATGACATGTTAACACATAATGACAAGGGTACCATCTAAGTAAAAGTTGATTAAGCATTCTCGGGTACATTAGGTATTCGAGTACATGCAATAATGCAATATAATTATATGTATAGGGAGTTGCTAAAACAGAAACGGTGTTCCTTTAGCCTGTATATTTGCAGGTATTTTTTGCCAGAGGAAGGAAATGTGTTGTTTTGGGTCTCGGGCCACTGTAGATTTTGGGTTTCAACGGAATGAATTGCAACTTTTTTTGACTGCCTGCCTATTGTAGATGGGATAATTTCTTTGTAGATTTGCAATCTTATGTCATACATGTTCTCAACAAAATGTGTTTTCTTTTTCCAGGTTTTGTAGTTTGGTATCAGAATTAATAGACGTATTGCTTGTAGGACATTGACAGCAGGAACCTGAAATTAACTGTGGAGTGCTACCTAAGACACGTTCAAATTCTCGAAGCACAGATTCGGGTTTTAACTAAATATCAGATGCTGGAAGAAAAATTTGATTCGAAAAATCAGTGTATGGACAGTAAGTTAGACCGTCTATTTAGTATCTTCCAAACATTTCCCGGAAATGCATATTCTGATTCTGATAGTACAGATGACGATTTTTCGGATAGAAGAAATTCGGATAAGAATTTAGGTCTATCAAAACGTGATGACATTATTAAAATTCCATCAGATAAGGATGTTGATAATTTTTTGAATGACATTGATCCAGAAGCTTCTACTTCCAAAATACAGAAGTCGCATGATAAAAGTGATTCAAATTCAACGTTGTCTGAAAAAACAAAAAGTTGTCTTGTTGAATTATAAGGAGAAGACGCTCTTTTACCAAGTAAAGAACCGGAAGAGAATGGTATATTACTTGATGATGCTAAGAAATCTGTAATTTCATACAGTTATAGGACAAAGAATCCACATCATTTGTCAGCCTATAATGAAAATCTACTTGAGGAATTTCCAGTTAGCAAAGAAACAGAAAAATTTCTTCAAGTACCTCAAATTGATCCATTATTTGAATCTTTACTTATAAGAAAACATGGTGAAAAAGCATCCTTTGCAAATTCTAAACACAAAGGGATGACCAGTTTATATTCTCAACCTTGCAAGAGTGTAGAAAGAATTGCCTACAAGGGCTCCCACGCAGCTCGCATAGGAATGATAACTCAGGCCTATGTTCAACAAGGACTAGGGAATTTATTACAGGCACTTCTCACAGGTAATTTTGATTCTGAAGATCTAGTTAAACAAGTGAGAAATATTTTTGCTATCACTACCAGAAGTATGGATCAGTTTGGCCGGACAGGAGCCTTTTTCCACATAATTAGAAGATCTTTAGCTATGTCTGACACATCTCTCTTTGAATTACATGATCATGGGAAATTCTCAAGTTTACCATTATCAGGTGAAGGGCTTTTGAGTCCATATTTTGAAACTTTGTTAAAGCAACGCAAAGAAAGAAAAAAAGCAAATAGATGAACTTTTGACAGATTTTCACAAAAAAGATACAGTGTATGAACGCAAACTGAATTCAAACTCAAAGGCTAATGAACCACCTGCAAAAAAGCCATTATATGACAGACAGTGCAGTGCAACTTCCTCCAATAGTTCAGATACTTTTCGTATTCCAAAAGTCACAGTATCTGCAGTCAAGCCCTCCAGGGAGACAGGTCATTCAGCTATGGTAAATCAAACCGTCCCGATACCTCCAAATCTGTTGGCAGAGGACGTGGACGATCAGATAAAAAATGACTCAGTAAGTACAATAGCAAAATTTCCAGAGATACCTGTTGGGGGAAGACTCAGTCATTTCTTTGCAGAATGGCAGAAAATAATTAACACCAATGAGTTTTAGATATTATTCAAAATGGCCACAAACTGGAATTTATAATAAAAAAAGAACGTTTTTGGGCATAAAACATACAAAAGTAAATTCAAGAGTTTCAGATTTAATCGGTATAGAAATTCAAGAGCTTTTAAAAAAATTGCTATAGAAACAGTCCACCCGACTATGATAAGAACAGGTTTTTACAGTACATTATTTCTGGTAACCAAATAGAATGGGGATATGAGACCAGTATTAAATCTCAAACCCCTCAACAATATCTCAGGAAAACACATTTCAAGATGAATACTAAGAAAAAAGTGCTGAATCTAGTTCGAAAAGGGGATTGGGCTTTTAGTCTAGATTTAAAGGATGCTTATTTTCACATCCCTATTCACAAAAAGCATCGGAAATATCTCCGCTTTTGTTACAAGGGAATAGTTTACCAATTCAGAGCACTGTGCTTTGGACCAACAGTAGCTCCAAGAGGTTTTACAAAAATCACAGCAGTAGTAGCTGCACATCTTCGAAAACAAAGCATAGACCTATTAACTTATCTAGACGATTGGTTATCAGTAAACTCAGTCCAAACATTATCTGATTCAGAATCGTACAACAATGCTGAATCTTCTTTTCGAGCTAGGTTTCATAGTCAACAGAAAGAAATCCAATATTGTCCCTTCACAATCAGTAACTTATACTTAGTGGGTCAGTTTGCTTTAGACAAGGGGTTAGTATTTCCAACTCCAGAGAGAGTTTCGGGCCTAAAAATGTCGGCAAAAAAAATAACTTTTGGGTCAGAATACAGCCAGGGACTATTTAATATTTATAGGGAAAATAGCTTCTTGTTTGGATCTGATACCAAATGCAATGTTGTTCATGCGTCTGATCCAACTTCATTTGCTGCAAAATTGGAGTCTTTTTCACATCTAATACCAGGTTCACCTTCGCTAAATTATCATCAACAATGGTGGTTACAGGAAGTGAACAGTCTCAAGGGCTGTGCTTATCTACAGAGTCAAACAAATGTGTCGATAACCACAGATGCGAGCAGTACATGGGGTTGGGGTGGACATATGAACAACCTTACTGTGCAAGGACGTTGGACTCTTTACAACAACTTCAACACATCAATTGTTTGGAGATGGAAGCTATGATCAGAACAGTAAGACATTTTCTACCCCGCCTGAAACACAAAAATGTATTGATACGCTCAGACAATATGACAGTTGTACAATACATCAACAAACAGGGAGGTACCAAATTTCTGAATGTCTGCCAGAAAACTTTGGACGTTGGCACTAGCCAATGGCATGTCACTGAAAGCAGCTCATATAGCTGGAGACAAGAATATACTGGCAGATGCTCTGAGCAGATACAGAGTAAAGGAGACAGAGTGGTCCTTGAACAAAACAGTTGTGAGGAAAATTTTCAGCATCTTGGGTTTTCCAATGATGGATCTGTTGCGACAATAGAAAACAAACAGACACAACTGTTTTGTACTTGGATTCCTCACCCAGGGGCATATGCAGTGGATGCCCTCTCAATCGCATGGACGAACATGTATGCCTATGCATTTCCATCGATAAAGTTGATACCGCGTGTTCTGTCTCACATGCAGAAATATCAGTGTACACTAATTCTAATTGCGCCGAATTGGCCGCGTGAACATTGGTTTCCGATTCTACTGCAAATGTTGATTGCAGAACCACTGATACTAACCGTGCAGTCGGAACTATTGTCTCAAGTCAAGGGGAGAATTGTACATCCTCGACCCGAGATTCTAAATCTGACCTCATGGCTCATATCGACAGATACTATGAAACAAGAGGCTTTTCAGAAAAATCTAAAATATTACTGGCAGCCTCATGGCGAATGGGCACTAAGAAAGACTATAGATCTAAGTTCAAAATTTTCAGTCATTGGTGTAGTGAACAACAAATTGATACATACACAGCATCACTAGAACAATGCATAAATTTCTTATCTGAAACATTTTTGCAGGTTCTGCATATAGGACTTTATCTGGCTATAGATCTATGATGTCTTCTGTTTTACCAAGGGTTGATAATTTTGCTGTTGGACAACACCCTGTAGTCATAAGGCATTTAAAGGGTGTATTTAATGAAAGACCACCTTTAAAAAGCTTGTTCCCGAATGGGATTTACCTTTTGTTTTACAGGCACTAACAGAGACTCCTTTTGAACCGTTAAAAAAAGCGTCCCTGAAGCATCTTACATGGAAAACAAGCTTCCTTATTGATGTAACATCTTTCAGACGATGTAGTGATTTGCAGAGTCTCAAGCTTGTTGAGGGAAATGTAAACGTACAAAATAAAGGTATAAGTTTCATAAGACAAGGCCTTTCCAAGCAAGACAGACCAAATCATGTTCCTACACCTGTGTTTACTCCGGCGTTTCCAATAAACAAATTATTAGATCCTAAACGCTGTTTGGCTGTGTATTTAAAACGCACTGAACAATTTCAAAATATAGGTACAGAATCTGATGTCATTGAACTATTTCTTTCGGTTAACAAACCTCATAGACCAGTTACAACACAGACAATTTCAAGCTGGATTGTCAAAGTTATCAAATATGCATACAAAGAACATTAAAAATGTGAAAGGTCACTCAACGAGAAGTATAGGTCCTTCTTGGGCACTTTTCCACGGTGCAACAGTGAAAAGCGTGATGGAGTCCGCTGACTGGTCTAAGGAGACCACTTTCGTGAAACATTATTTCACTACTGTAATTGCAGATTTTCTGAAAACTACTTGTGATAAATAGATGAACTGTCAGTCGTATCTTGGCGAGTCGGATTAGAGGAAATTTCACAGTGATTACAGTTTTTAAACTGATATACATTTAAGTGTTGTGCATATGGGTTGTACAGGATATATACTGTAGATTGTATATAACAATGGGATGTACAGTATTTGGTTTTTTAAGGTACTTTTGTACAGACAGTGGGTTGTACAGGATATTTCATATCATATGTCACCAAGTTGCATTCAAGTATTTAGATATTCAAGGATGCCTTCAGTACTCGGTAAGTACATTTTAGAGTTTATAAACTTATTATTATTATGGGTTTTTATTGTTTTTAGTATATTGGTAAAACTGAAATCCACCTTCCTGTTTATAATATTGCTTCCAAATCAGATTAAATTATGAATGTAGCATTCTAGGTAACGTATTGTATGAAATAAAATTGATAAATTTGAAAATCAAGTTATGATTTTATGAATACAATACTTACCTAGAATGCTACATGAACCCATCCTCCTTCCCCACAGGACTTCAGTTTTTCCATGGCGATTTGTAGGTCGCCAAGAAAGCGAAGTCACGTGGTCTAAACGGAAGTGCGTGCTTGATTAGTTATCTGAAAGTGAGGTTGGGAAAACACTCAGTAACCAAAACAAGCGAGTCAAAAGTAGGTCGCAATTCTGAATGTAGCATTCTATGTAAGTATTGTATTCATAAAATCATAACTTGATTTTCAAATTTATCAATTTTATTGCGTGATTTTGACAAGTAAACTTAATTCAACCTGTATCTTTTATGGACCAGTTTGAACATTTAATCAGACTTTTAAACAGACTTTTGATGTTCATATATGATTCAATCTTCATAATGCATGATTTTACCGAACTTTAAACTAATAACCAACTATTCTTTAATGCATTTCACTGTTCAGTATTATGAACTCTGCGAACTGGTTAGAAAAAGGCGATTGAATAAAAAAAAGTTTTGCTATAAGTGTGTGGTAATAACATAAATTCATCCTTTCTAAAAATTATGAACATAGTTCATAAGATATAGCTTTATAGGCGTTCTCTCATCGGACTGGGTGACAGACACTTTAACCACAATGTCACTGCTAACCTTTTCCTTTGGAGATATATTTCATATTATATTTTCACCACATAATATTGCATTTATGGACTTTTTTTAAAAGAACACTTTTGAAGAGCAAAATCTAATAAACATTTAAGACCATAATACTATGAAGACACAACTGTTGTTGTCGTTTTATTATTATTATTATTATTATTATTATTATTATTATTATTATTAATAATAATAATAATAAAAAAGTTATTGTTTTTATTATTATTATTATTTTATTAAAAATTATTATTATTATTGTTATTATTATTATTTTATTAATAATTATTATTATTATTATTTTTATTATTATTATTATTATTATTATTATTATTATTATTATTATTATTATTATTAAATATTTATCAATAACAATTAATAAATACTTTTTTAACATACCTTGTTTTTTGTCAGTCCAATAATAAGCGCGGCAGATGTAATTAAATAAACGACCCTCGCCGACATTTCACTTGAAACAATTACTTAGAAGCAATAGAAATTCATATAAGTGTTCTTTCTTTAACTTTTATCAATGGATTTCACAAACACACATACACACAGTATACAAGCACAAAATGAAACTAGAGTCTAGTTCACGCTCCAGAGAACTTAATAAAAGTTTCGTTCGTAGAAATATTTAAATAACAACATGTCTCTTCCGCTTTTCTCTACCAATCAGAATGCTTGATTCAGATTACAAAATAAGCAAGCTATCCATTGATGTTTACTTATATTGCCGGACAAATGTAAAGCTGAACAAAACAATATTTGACAGTAAACATTTTTATCACTTTATATAAACGGTAAGTATATGTATTTATTATCGGAATCATACACGTAACTTAGTATTTCCTTATAAGGAGGTAATCGGAAGTTATGTTTTTTGGCGACAATAGTGCACGAGTTTCTTGTAATTAGTAAAGCGGGCATTCCAGGTTTATTTGTCAAGCCGTTTAGATGTGAAATTTCCAAAAATATTGAAATATTTTCGATCATATTATACAGAAAGTTATGTAAATGTTTCTTACAATTGTTTTCTCTTTCAGGATTATGTACAGCTCAGAGCAAAGTAAACGTGTGTCTTTATACGCAAAAAAAAAATAATAAAAAAATGGACTTTCAAAATTGATGAGGCATATTCATTTAATTCCGTTTTGATTCATTGTGAATTATTATTCTGTTTGCATATAATTATGTACATGAAATGAGTTTATTTCAGTGACAAATTATCTGTGTTTTTGTCTATTTATAATTTTCAAAATTCGTTTCCTTTTTCCATTATGACAAAAAAATTTAGACCTCTAAATTTGGGTTTTACGTCAGGTAGGTTCGAAGGAGCCGCTGGTCTTGAGCCTGGATTAATCCTTCAACAATACCTCCCCCTCCTAAGCAACCTGACTTTTCGAACATTTCCAAAAACTTCTGTTTTTACAAAACTCTATTATTCAGTTATATTGGAAAGTTTATATTTCTTTACTTTTACACGAAGTATTTGGCATTTTTTAACAGATGAATTTGCTTAGTAAATTTATTACTATAAGTCATATGGAAGCTTTTTTGGACTTTTGTCTTAACAAAAATTGATATGTAGATTTATATCCAGAATTTTGTTTTTGTTGGTTGGGAAAATAAACGGTTAGTGGAGACGGCTTACAAATAGTCCCTCTAGCCTCTTTAAACTCTGTGTTGTGTTGCTTATTATTTCAAAGGTGTATTATTAAAGATTGTAAATGATTTATGCTCGTTTGAGTGTAACGAATTAGAGCATAATTACACCGAATGAGTGTGTACATGTACCGGGTGAGACTTGTCAAGATTTTCAGCAGAAGTTTTTAACATACCCTTTCCAAATCAAATTACATATGTATAATTATCTGGGTTTTTATTTATAAAAAAAAACAACAACAACAACACCCCCCCCCCTAAAAAAAATAAATAAAAATATAAAAAATAATACTGACATCTGAGTCTTTCGTTTTCTGTATTTAAGCTAAATATCAGTCGGTGTAAGTTCTCAACCCAGTGTTGTGATCTCCACAAATAGATCACAACTTCTTAACAACAAATATAATTTTATTATTTGTAAAGAAAGCAGACGACAACTAAGAGTCCAAACAAACTGAACGTATATACAGACTGGTTTAGTCCTATATGTATTAGAGAGGTCATTATTGCACCTAGCGTTCAGATAGTTAAAATATAACAAAAAAACAAAAACAGCAACAACAAGAAAAACACAACAACAACGACAACAACAACAATAACAAATAAATTGCCATATGATAAATATATATATATATATATGTGTGTGTGTACATAATCAATATCTATACGAGAATGCTTAATGTAATGTATTCAAGTTTTTACGTGTGTAGGCATACTAAGTTAATTAAATAAACGTAGACAACGACCACATTATGTAAATTCTGATATACGCCACATTGTCAACGGACATATTTATCAAAACTTCATATACTTAATATTTCACAATATAAATAAATGTTTTATTAATGTTAAACCGCATCGATAATGCAACAGTTTCTCTTAAAAGTACAAAATACGTCATGTCAGAAAAGGACTTATATCCGTGAAATGACTACTGCACGTCAAAGATAAATGTTGTTTATTTGCTTGAGTTGATGTGGTCCGCGATATGTATGTATCTAGAACATGCTTAATGATGATCTATCCGCCCGTTAAAGCACAAAAAGCAGCTTCCGCTCACACATCTCACCATTCAGCCTTTAAAGTGTTAAATTTTACCAGTTCATGTTAAATGTTGAATTCTGCTTAAGCCGGTGCTAGGGGGCGTGGACGGTAGTTTGCACTTGACAGTACCGTCCATGAACAGGCTCAATCAAACCGAGCATGCAACATTTTCAATTTTGCCATATTGGGCTTTCTTTGGGGATTCTTATTTTCTCTATTGAAGCATATAAATTAAGTGAAGATTATTACTTACGCACAATTTTCACATATTATATGAGTCGAACCCACAGCGATGAGAGGGAAATGGTTTGAAGTCAACGATCTTAACAACTCGGCCACCGACGTCCCCCATAGGTTCACTACATTCTTATACACGGGGACATGGAACTCAATGTATAGCAAACTCAGCGCAACAGTTACGCAAGCGCCACTAATCATGTAAGGGACTGTGTGGAATATATATTGATTGTTCTCGTTTATCATTATTGTTCCGTTAGGGCAGATAAACGCCCTGTCTGTCATTTATTATCGTTTGCCTTTGTTAGTTTAAGCAAACACGACTTTTAAATTGTAGGTTACTATGGAAAGCCATGGCTGTCTTATATTGTTCTTTTCAATTTCGACAATATATAAATTGAAAACACCTTCTTATTCAACCGGAAACCATTATATAAATCCAAAGTACAATATATGAAACCATGCCGATAGTGTATGAAAACAAGGTAGCTATGTACAAGTTGATTTTATCAATATATGATACCAATTCTTCAATATATGGTACCAAAGTAGCCATATATAAAACCAGATATCCTTATATGAATCTGAATTATGAATATATTTATTCATTTTTCAATATATAAAATCAAGTCGTCAATGTATGAAACCAAAGTATCAATATCTAAGTTGATTTCACATTATAAGGTACAAATTCTTTGATATATGGTACTAAAGTAACCATGTATTGAACCAGATGCCCTTATATGGAACTGAATTATCAATATATTAATTCATTTTTACAATATATGAAACCATTTAATCAATGTATGGAACCAGAGTAGCAATATATCAGTTGATTATCATATTATATGATAGCAATTTTTCACTATATGGAACCAAAGTAGCCATGTATGGAACCGAATTATCAATATATTAATTCTTTTTTACAATATATGATTCCATTTTATCAATGAGTTGAACCAAAGTATCAATATTATACAATATATAAGTTGATTATCATATTATATGATATCAGATCTCCAATATATGGATCCAAGTTAGTCATGTATGGAATCAGATGTACCTTAAATGAAACCGAATTATCAATATATTAATTCAATTTTACTAATATATGAAACCATTTTATCGATGTATTGATCCAAAATATCAACATTATAAGTTGATTATCACATTATATGGTACCAGATTCTTCAATATATGGTACCAAGTAAATCATGTATTGAAACCAGATGTCCTTATATGGAACTGAATTATCAATATATTAATTCATTTTACAAATATGAAAACCCAGTTTATCAATGTGTATGCCGAACCCAGCAGTAGCAATATAAGGGTTGATTATCACATTATATGATAGCAATTTTTCATTACTATGGAAAATTAAAGTAGCCATGTATGGAACCCCAGGTGTTCCTTATATGAAAACCCCGATTTATCAATATTATTAATTCATTTTTACAATATATTTGAAACCAGTTTATACAATGTATGTAACCGAAGTAGCATATATTAATTGATGAAATCAATTATATGATACCAGTTCTTCAATATATATGGTAACCAAAGTAGCCAATACATGGAACCAGATGTCCTTATATAAAACCGGACTTATCAATATATTGAATCGTTTTTACAATATATGAAACCATTTTTATCAATGTATTGAACCCCGAAAATTAGCATATCTTACCATGTCACCAGTTTTTAGAACTGACTCAGGCAATATATAAGTCGATTTTGACATGTTATGAATCCAAACTTTCAATCTATGATAACAAACTAGCCATTTATGTAATCAAATATCCTTGTATGAAAACAACTTATTAATATGTTAGTTTAATACAAGTTAAATGTTGATGCTGCACATCATAGACGCCGCCAAAAGATGTGAACAGTCAATCAGCATTGAAAATCGTTCTCTATTACAGTTGAATATCCAAAGCACAAATCAATTTTTTCTCCATGTTCTTGGTATGTGCTCGTTGTTTAATAATAAAGTTGCATATTTTTGTAAAAATGAGAACTTAATGCATACATTCACAAAGTAATGCCATGTCTGAAATTTTAAAATGTTTTTATGTTGCGACAAAGATTGAAACGTCTGGTCGAAGTAAAGTAAATTGGATTACAAGTAAAATTGAAATGATTGGTATACTTAAAATGAATTCAAGACAATATGTGCCGAGAATATATCCATTTAAATATTGGTACGAATTGCATAATGTTCGAATGATTTTGAGGACGAACTGTTCTGCAGTGATCTCCCCTTACTGGCCGTAGCGTAACGGTTATGGAAGAACCGCCTCTCTTATAATGGGCGTGGTTTAGGCTTTAATGATTCGACGAGTGACTGAATGCTAGCATACGGAGCATCATTGTAATTTTTTGCGACAATTTAAGGCGGAGCCGAACTTCAACAGAGGCGGAGCAAATGAAGTAAGTGACACTTCCTCAGTCGTAACCTCTTTCAACGGTCAAGTTTTAGAACAATCGACTATAGACTGGCTCATTGGCACGTTATTTATTATGTAGATTAAATTAGATAATGATAAAAAGAATATGATATTCAAACATGGCATTATCATTTCAGTTAGACGTTTATTCAAATCCCTTAAAGCTCCGTGACATGCTGTACATCAGAAAAGCTATTTTTA